TTGAAAAAGGATCCAACACCCAGTCCGGTATTTCCAATTTTTAAATGTCCTGGTTCCTGTGGAGGTTCTCCAAATGTTGGCAGTAAACAAGCAAGTCGTCGTTATTGAAGGATACTGCTGACAAATTAGGGAAATTGCGAAACTCACGTCTGCCGATGTTATTCTTGTATAAGACCAATTTGGCTACAAAAGCAGCAATTACATTTTTTGTTTTAATCAAATTCAAGTCTTCACCTTGAAGTTGGAGATTGACATCATTAAATGATTTATACAGGACTGTCAAATACGCAATATCATTCTTTGAAGTGATGAGGTTGTCGTGCAATTCTTTGTCTTTGTTTTCCAAGAACTACAGAGTCAAATGGATTGTAAAATCGAGTTTTGACACAGTTGGCTGAGTTGAGTGTTTCTTTTCCAGTTCTTGAAAATACGTCACACTTTTGTCTTTTTTTTTCTGAATGCATTTTATTCAAATGATCTTGTAGCCTTGAGGGTTTCATCGCTTCATTCGAAAATGTTTTTTGACAAAGAAGGCACACAGGCGAAGATGGATTTGTGGAATTTTCAATAAATCCATATTTTATATATTCCGCGCTATACTGCCATTTCTTCTTTTTTGCTTCCGACATAATTTCGTCTTCAAAAATGCCGAAGTAAAGAATCGAGTACTAAAACTTGCTAATGACACCACTCACAGTATTGACCACCGCACGTACAGCACTTTACCCAGCTAGTCGCTAACTAAATTCACTTGTTTTCGAAATATCGTCGAATGACATTACTGGCTGGATGGTGCGCGCGCTTTTATATGAGGCAGCGGGCGGGCCTAGTACTTTCGAGAATGGAGACTAGAAATTTCTTGCTTCGCATTGAAGCTTACCGCCATTTATTGTACAGTTTGACAACTATCGGACAAGAAATAGTTATTGTCTAGTTCTCTAGATGGCGTTACACGAGGAAAACCCCGTTAAGCGTAAAGGAGCGGTGAAGTTTGTGTTAAAAGCAAAAGAGCATTTTTAAATTAGCCATCGCCCCCTGAACCGCTTCAACGCCCCCCAATCTTCTCTGTACCCTTTACTGCCCCCCTATAGGCCTCCATCGGCCACAAGGGGGCGTCCACTTTGAGAAAGACTAGTCTATGCGAAGTCAATCCGAACAGCTAAATAGAAAACTAATGTACTCCTTAATACTAATAAAAAAATCCGTATAGGTTTATGAGAAATGTAATTAATTTTGAAAAAAATTACACCTCGCCGCCCATGCCATATAAAGGAACTGCCGACGTTCGGTAACTATTTAGTTTTAGAAGCGAGTACTTCCCGGGGGCGGTTGCCGAAAAAATATTTTTTAGTAATACTGGAGAACACAGAAACATATTTTTGGTTTTCATTTCACAGCATTTATTTTAAACAACTACTGTCACGAGCTTGAGAAGCCGTGAACTGCCGTACACACCGCGAAGTTCCTGAAACCTAACCCTACCTTGTCAACATTCGGCGTTCCTCTTTCAAGTTTCCGCTGCTCCGGCAATTATTAAACGCCCTCTCGTACACCTTCTTTACGTCTTCTACTGGCGCTCCCGCGGCTTCTTTCGTGTCAGCTATCCTGCTCAGGGTGTTAAGATTATCCTTCAAGTTTTCACAAAGGGAATACTCCCTTTCGAAGTACTCCTCAGCCTCGGAAAACTGATTGTTGTCCTTGTAAGTTTCAGCCAGGCTGAGATAAATGTTAAAAAATTATAGGAGACATACAAATTCGGTGCCAAGACGCTTTTTTTTTGACAAACTTTATTTTTAATAGATGTTAATGCTCTTAGATGTCCACGGCAATTTATCTTAGGTACCTAACTGCGGTACTAGTATCAGACGCTGTCAATATAACATTAGCTAAACTTTCAACTAATGTTATATATAACGCTGGTTTTATATATAACGTATGGCAGCCTCTTTAACAAATTTTCTAGATAAGTACCTCACCTATAATAGCACGACCCAAGTTCTTTTCCGCCAATACCACATTTCTCTGCATATTTCAACATCAGTTTGTAATATTCTATGGCCTTAGTGAAGTTTTTTAGGGCACAAGCACAATCTCCCATTTTTTCATACAACTTTTTTTTCTCTTTGGCATCTTCGCAGGTCACAACCAGTTTATCTTCGATATGACACATTGTGGCAACTAAAAATCATTATAACTATGAAACTGCTCTGAATCTGAATAATATTGAATTTCAGAGTTGAAGCTGATGAATTCTATTAGCTAAACAATATGACCAAAAATTATTTTATTATCTTCCTAATCGCATGTATTTTATGAAAACAAAATGGAAATGTTAACCTGAACAAATCTTCAAGGCAATATTATCATTTCATGTATGTATGTGTCTGTACAGCTGCCTAAAGAATAATCCCATACCTGACACCAAAAAACAAGAACTTTCCTATCCTTATAGGTAGAATTAAATTGAATAAATATAGTTTATTAAAAGATTTTTTTAAACTTTTTAGTTCGATGTTCTTTAAAAATTTTTCAACTTTTTAGTTCAATGGTCTTTAAAAGCGTGTTTTTTTAGTTTTTTTAAACTATACTTTTTTTTTATTTGATTTTGATTTGTCTAATAAGTAAATCCACCCTGGGTTGTAACATCACACTCGTATTCATTTCTTTGAGTTAACATATCAGTCTATGGAGGGGGAATTACCGTCATTACCTCCCCTATAGATCCACTCACAGCAATGACTGGGAAATATTTTATTTACCATGAAAAAATTGACTGATTTTTTTTTGTATCGCATTTAAAATCCTAATGAGAATACAATACAATTCATCTCCAATTTCAATCAGGGAAATTTGAGCTTACCAGTCCTGAGGGTCCTTTCAATAGCTTTTCGTTCATCTACATTTGGAGTCTTCAACTTGTGGGCTTTCAACAATATATGCTTGGCACCATGGAAATCTGTCAGTTTGATGAGAACCTCTGATTTGGCCAGGAGAGCTCCACACATGAGGTCGACATTTCCTTTCAACTTCTCTAAAAAAAAAATTAGGTCGGGTATTTCGGTACATGCGTAAAAATGGGGGTCCCAGAACCCAACCTTGAGGAACCCCAATTTTAAAAAATCGGCCTGTGAATGGCTGCACCACTTACTTGCTGCATCAATGGCAAGGTTATAATGATGTATAGTCTCGTTGAAGTCCCCTCTTTTGTCGTAGAGAGAAGCCATGGACGTATAGCCTCTAGTCAGTTGTTCGTAAATGTCGTGTTGCTTGCAAATCGCTATGGAACGGTTCAACAACTCTGAGGCTTTGCTGTAATCACCTAAGCTTTCTTTCACTAAACCTAAATTCGAGAAAAGCCTTGCCAGCATATCAGCTTTTTCCAGCTTGTTTATACCTGTAAGTCTGGAAAACAAAGTCAGGAAAGTTGATGAAATATCGAAAAACATACCTTTCAGCTATTTTGAGACTCTTCATGAAGTACTTGAAAGCTAAATTCAGGTTTATATCCCGATCCATTTGCGTTTCGAGGAAGTGAGATAGATACATATGTCCCATCGTAGCGTAAGCTCTCTGCTGCTCCAGGATATCGTTTTCTTTCATGGAAATGTCTGAAATGTTTAGTTAGCTTGAAGGGTGATTTCTTTTTTTAAAACGTCGGTTGATTTGAACAAAAGTTTTCTATTTTGGGAAACTAGAATAATTTCTTTTCTGATAAAGATAACAACTGCCTCTATCAATATTGCCATAGCTCTAGAACTAGTGCTGTTCAATTACGTACTGAACATCTGGACTTGGTAAATTGCACAACTTATGCTGAAATATAAAATGTAAAATGAGCTCCCAGAACAAATAAAGACTTGATAAAAATGAGTCGAAGAAAAACAACTGCCTCTATCAATATTGCCATAGCTCTAGAACTAGTGCTGTTCAATTACTTACTGAACATCTGGACTTGGTAAATTACACAACTTATGCTGAGATATAAAATATAAAATGAGCTCCCAGAACAAATGAAGACTTGATAAAAATGAGTCGAAGAAAAACAACTACCTCTATTAATATTGCCATAGCTCTAGAACTAGTGCTGTTCAATTACTTACTGAACATCTGGACTTGGTAAATTGCACAACTTATGCTGAGATATAAAATGAGCTCCCAGAACAAATAAAGACATGATAAAAATTAGTCGAAGAAAAACAACTGCCTCTATTAATATTGCTCTAGCTCTAGAACTAGTGCTGTTCAATTACTTACTGAACATCTGGACTTGGTAAATTGCACAACTTATGCTGAGATATAAAATGAGCTTCCAGAACAAATAAAGACTTGATAAAAATGAGTCGAAGAAAAACACTGCCTCTATCAATATAGCTCTAGAACTACTGCTGTCTAATTACTACTATCAAATCTGGATTTGAAAAATAACTTATGATGCTGAGATATAAAATAAGCTTCCTGAATAAATGAAGACTTATAGTACTTTCAAATTCAAGACTTTAATGAAACATTAGTTTCTGCCAAAAGCTTATTTGAATATTACAACCCNAAGTTACTGATGAATAGAACAATTTTCTTTGTAAAAAGTACTTCGAACTTAAGGCAGAAACTCATTGAACTGAGAAGTTTGCCCTTCCTACACATTTATGAAAGTTTCCATTACAAAATTTATATATTTTTTATATTGTGGAAGTTGAAAAACACTGTATGTTTGGAAGAGCAATGTCAAAATTTGACAGAGATGTCATGTAACACCTATCATTTTTCAAATCTACCTGTCAAATTTCTGTTGGAACCACCATTATAAATTTACAAGTCACAAAACACGGTCCATTCCATGCCTGCTACAAACTAGAATCCCTCTAGTTACCGAACCAAAATGTCGAGAGTAATCTGGGCTTTCCATAGAGAGAAGAATCAGTGTTAATGGAGTATAACCTAAAATGCCAGCTCTGTGGAAAGCAAATAAGCGTTACTCCTGAAACCCCCTGCGCGTTGGGGGAACACCTTTTGGAACACCATCCCGATGAAGAGTTGACATTCTTTTCCTGCGAAGAAGATGAAAGCGAAAAATCCCGCAAGTGTTGTAAGTGCCCCTCGAAAACCAAGAAAAAAATCATAAAAGGTACGTTTTACTTGTTTGAGATCATTTGTTTGTGGCTGCACTTTCTGCCGAACCTTCTTGTTTATAAATTCAATAAAAATATTGTTGCAAGTGAACAGGAATTCAAAAGCCGCACACATTCGTTGCAATATTGCCGCAATATGAAAAAAAAAGCTCAAGTACCCACGACCACTCATTCATTGTTATTATTTCACAAAGTTTTGTATGGAGGGGCGATCCTTGAATTAGTTTTCACAGTAATTATGTTTTGATATCCTGTTCATTACCAATACTGTCATATAAATTAGCTGAGACGATTCAGAATCCATTCTAGAACAAAAAAATAATGTGTTCTTCCAAAAAACAGATCCACGCGAAGCCTACGCCCCACGATTCATCAAATCTTGAAGGCCCACTCACCAAACCCTCAATCATACAGACAACAATTCAGAAATACGAGGGTGGTCTAAAAAGTTTCCTATCTCAACACGAAGATAACATTACTCGTAGACCGTTAGACTAAAAACGTGTTCGAATTAACATTTCCAACATTCTGTTGACGTAATTTAAGCGCGATGAATCTAAGTTTTCGCGCCGATTAATCACTGTGAATGAAACTTGGATACACCGTTATACGCCCGAAACAAAGACTTTTGTTAGGAATAATTTAGAAATGTATGACTAGCATGTGAGTACGATGATGATCTTTGGAAAAAAAAATAGGAATAAGTCCAACGCCTTTGAAAGCTACCTGTAGTTAGTTATTTTAGATTATTCAGGGCATCTTATCGTGATGATGCAATAAGTTACGTACAGTTTAATCGCGAAGGAAATATGTAGACACTAAAAGATGAAAGATGAGAGAAATGAAACCTAACCTCAAAAAAGTTTGTTTGTTATTGAATTCAATCCTCCAGCAAGATAATACTGGTTAATAATTTTAGGCAAATACTTACGTTAAAGTGATCTTCGCAAAAGTAAAGGTGAGTAATGGGCAATATTTCCACCGAATCTTGCCTTTTGAGTTTAAGCCACTTATTTCGTGTTGGTTTTTTGTGGGGGATGAACACAAATAACTTGTTCGGAGTTTTCACTGGTTTATTAGTACATTAAGGGACTGCTTGTGGTGGTTACACGTAGTCTACTCGAACGTGACGTCACAAGCGACGCCATGACACTTTGAAGTAGTTTGGTGCAAATTTAAAACTTCTAAATTGTAGACTAAATTTTTATTTTTGCGTAAATACACACATCGGAAAAGTCTAGGGATATTTTTATAACATACTAAATATCATAAAAATAAATGCATGAGGTCGTTTAATTTCGATTAAATTGGTACACTCGACCACCCTGTAGATTTCTATGGGTTCAACAAAGCCNGGAAGATATAAGAAAAGTGTACCAGAATGCACGTTGCCGATCTACTAATACGTAATGAAGTAATAATTCATGACCAAATTCTCAAGAACAGAATAACAAACGAAATAATTTCTGCCCGATGTTGATTCTTTGATCATAGTTTTTTGAACATTCACTCTTACTTTTTTCAGTTCGGAATTTAAATAGACTGAGCATATCGAAGAGAAGTCTTTTCAAAACTACAGGTATGGTATTGATTCTCGCCACTCTCAATTATCATTATATCACTGAATCGACATATTTTTTAGTGGAAACCTGGAAACCAGGCCCCGTAAAAGTTATTTGTCCTAAGTGCAAAATAAACGACCGACCCTGTATTAGAAAACAAAGGAACAAGGTTAGTTGTGGTTTTTATTTTTAATTTTGTTCAAGACGTATGTAAGGTATAAGGAAAACGAAACCATTAACGACGCATGGACATTAGATGTAGATGGTCATTGCTTCCCATTCGGGCGCATTTGCCCAGGCTCCACCTGTTACTATTTGACAAGATCTCCGTCAGAGGGCGCAGCATTCTGGCTCGAAGCGAGGCGAATAAATAACACATTTTTTGAGTCATCTCCTCCTCAGGAGACCTTAGGGTCACATACATGCCTCCCTTTACGTGGTTATCCGAACTACCCGGCCTGGAACCGGCGTGAATGAAGTGGCCCTCACTTCATATTTGAACATTCTCATAAAGGTGTATGTGTCAATATTTTTGTGTGCTTTTTTAGGTTGCCTACACCGCTTTGGGAGCCTTCTTCATTCTGACTTGCTGGCCTCTTTGTTTCATACCGTTTTTGATGCCAAAGGGCAGCACCGTGGATTTATTCTGCAAACATTGCGGCAACTATTTAGGAGAATACAACAGGGCAACAGGTTCTCTGAAGTGTGCTTGTAAACTACGAGACAAAAAGGCTAGTTACCCTCGAAATATTTGTTCGGAGTTGGGTTAGTTCATCTGGAAAAAATATATGCTCCAACACGATTAGATCGTTTTATTTTTCGACTTCCTTCTGAAATTCCAATACATAAATTTGTTGGAAAGCAGGTTTTTGGCTTTTAACTACTCCTTGCTTGAAACAAAAATGTGGGAGTTTTCCCTCGATAATATTATAAAAAAAACACACAATTGATTCATAAATTACAATTTTTTGGTCTCGGAATAAGTTTGATCTACTAATGCCATCGATGACATGGTAATGACATTCATTCACGTATTTGATTGAATCCCAGCTGAAAGAAATCTTGTTTGAAGTTGGGAAAGAAAGTTTTTGGCCGAAAACTTTCTTCGATACATTTTTTTTTTCGACAACAGAAACACGCAAAACACTTCTAACTTTCATGCCTCTAACCAACAATATAAACATGTTTAACAGCTGAAACTTCATATTTACATTCACAATTCGATCTCTATCATAAAATTATCCACGAAGATCTCGTTTTTACTAAAATATTCGATAACCATGCCTTCATAAAACCTTCCTGTACTGAAAACACCGTTATCCAAACCTCAGACATTCAATGCTTCGTTAGTTCAAAGGTGGTTTAGACGCTGTACCGACAAGACACATATATTGTGACGTCAAACTAGCTTTTGACAGACGTATATCTTGATACCGGTGAATTCTACTGATTTGGAATTTTCATCGTATTTTGGATGATAAGCATTATTAAAATATGTAAAAAATGCAGGGAACCACTAAATTAAAGCTCATTAATTCGAACAGCCCGTACGAATATTTTAGAAACCGACCACAACCGTTAGTTTGACCGATTGGTTACTTCATTTTAACAGTTAGCAAAACCTCAGGAGTTCTATTTGTGGGTTTTCGAATACCCACATGAAACTATTGAATGACTTCGATAGAATTCGAATTCGAAATATCCGCCGGATGCGGTTGCGAACGGGGGATTGTGTCTACGCAGTTTATTTATATGTATTTCTCGTTTATTTCTGCATCTGACATAAATAAACCGTTCGATCACATAGAACTGTATGCGAAAGATTATTCTCCATTGAGGATTCACTTTATTCGAGAAAGTAATCAAATTCGAAGGGGATCAGCAAAATGAGGTGGTGTGAAAGCATCATGAATTCCCTGGAACGTAATAGAACATTACAAGGTTGAGTTGCAAGTATTTTTCAGCTTGCACATTTTATGGACTTCAATCTCGGCCTACTGGCGAGTACTCTCAATTCTTTGGAACATGTTTCTAACGATTTTCTCAATGAAGGGACCGCGTTGTAGACAATAACCACAAGCAGTGTTGCCGTTGGTTATTTCAGTACTAGATTCGGTACTGTTGAAATCTGAAAATACTTCAAGTACGCCTTTTGATGTTTTAGTACTTTCCAATCATGTTGACTATAGGAACAGTCTAACTGGTCAACCTGAGTTTTTACTATATGACTTGTAGGTTTTTCCATCAAAGTTAACCAAATGGAATTAAAGAAATACCTATACAAAGGACTACTTTCAGTTCGGTGGATACGAAGATATAATCAATTTTACTAGAATTAGTAGAAAAACATCTGAGATTTTCTCAAGTGTTTTTTATTGATGATAAAAATTTGAATTATTAGTAATGTTTATCCTTTTTGGAAAATTGTAATGATAATTTAAAACTACAGGACAAAGAATTCACAGAACCACAGAACCTGGAGTATTTCATCAGTTCGGACTTCCACTGTCTAATATAATATAAATTGATTTGAAAACCCTGAATAAAACAATTAAAAAATTACTAAGATTACCCGAAAATAACAATTTTATTAAACAAAAAACTGGAATTACATACGCGGCTTCTTTGAATTTTCTCCCAAACCAGTGTTCCTCTTTGTGGATGATTTCAGCTTGAGCCCACTTGATGTTATGTCCAAACATGCTCTGCTATTCCGGATTTGCTGGTTTCTCCTCGTTGTGTGTGTTTCTTGTGCTCAGCAATGTGAACTTCTTGGAAACGTTGTAGGTCATTTTTGATGATGCCTAGTTCCTTTTCGAGACCTTCCTTTGTATTACAGAGCCCAAAAGCACGGTCTAGTAGAGTCTTGATGATCCCTCTTTCAGTCGATTGATGGTGGTTGGATTTCTGGTTCAGATACTGTCCTGTGTGAGTGGGTATTCGATATGCAGATGTTTCCCATTTAGTGTCGGTCCTCCTCACCAATACATCTAAGAAAAGCAATTCGTTGTGGACTTCCTTCTCCATTGTGAAAGTGATGGAAGGTCTTACGTTGTTGATGTGCTTCAAGAAAGTGTCTAGTTCTGCATTTCCATGGTTCCATACTATGAAGGTGTCGTCTACGTATCTCAACCAGACTCGTGGGCCTGGAGTTGGCAGCTTGTGTTTACTAATATTAAGTTGATAATGATGTGTGTGTTATTTGGGCGCAAAAATGATTGTAAAATCCCAACTAAAAACGTTGATTATAAATGAATGGAGAAAATATTAAAAGAATATATCTTATTCTCTTTGATATATTTTTATGGAATGGAAGTTCATTTGGAGTTTTATTCAATATCTACATTTTCATATGCTAAATCACACATTTGGGAAATTTCGTCATTATTTTTCAAATTAAACCTCAGCTATTCATCACAATTCGATTCACATATATCACACTGGAATCTTTTTGGCAACACTGTTTTTGACAGATCACGCATGAATCGTGTCTTAAGTCATTGTCAAACTCGTTCAGTTTGGTCTATAATTTAACCATGAATCGACTTACGAATGAACAACGCTTGCAAATTATTGAATTTTATTATCAAAATTCATGCTCGGTGAAGAAAGTGCATCGTGCACTTCTTCCAATTTATGGGCAGTTTCCTCGGCCTACTGAGGGAGCTATTCGGAAGCTTGTGACTGAATTTCGAACCCAGTTCACATTATTGGGCATTAAACCACCAACACGCATACGTACGGTGAGGACCGAAGAAAATATTGCGGCTGTATCCGCCAGTGTTCGTGATGACCGTGAAATGTCTATTCGCCGCCGTTCGCGGCAATTGGGCCTCTGTTACTCCACTACGTGGAAAATTTTGCGAAAGGATTTGGGTGTAAAAACTTATAAGAGAGAGCTGGTGCAAGAATTGAAGCCACACGACCTCCCACAACGTCTAACATTTGGTGAATGGGCGCTGGGAAAGTTGAAGGAAGATCCACATTTTTATCAAAAAATTGTGTTCAGCGACTGGGCTCATTTCTGGTTGAATCGATACGTTAACAAGCAAACAACCAAAAAGTCACTGTTTGGTGTGGATTATGGATCGGTGGCATCATCGGGCCGTACTTCTTCAAAGACGACAATGGCCGGAACGTTACTGTGAATGGCGAGCGCTACCGTGTGTTGACTGACGACTTTTTGTTGCCCAGAATGGAAAAATTGGACATGCCTGACATGTGATTTCAACAAGACGGTGCCACATGCCACACGGCACGCGAAACAATGACTCAATTAAGAGACGCCTTCGGTGAACAGTTTATCTCACGTTTGGGGCTCGTCAATTGGCCGCCTAGATCGTGTGATTTAACGCCTCTGGATTATTTCTTGTGAGGTCATTTCAAGGCTTATGTCTACAGGGATAAACCAGCAACGACGGACGCTCTGGAAGCCAGTATTGAAGCATTTATACGTGAAATACCGGTCGATATGTTAGAGAGAGTGTGCCAAAAGTGGACCTTGCGCATAGGCCATCTAAAGCGGAGTCCCGGACAATATTTGCATGAAATCATCTTCAAACATTAAATTATATTATCATTCTATCGCTTCCAATAAAGATTTCATCACTTTATTCAAAATTTTTGTGTTGTTTTGAAAATTAAATCCTATACCTCTTAAAAAATCACCCGTTAGGATTTCACCGTCTTGCTTCTTTGCTGGAAAACAAGATAGTTCAGATCAATTATAATGAAGGCAGTGTCGATAAGGGAGACATGGAAACCAAACTAGTTATTGAAAGAGAAGAACTCGACCATATGATGTCAAAATGGCTGTCACTGGTGACATTGGTGGGATAACCATGTAAAAATGCCTCGAGGCAGCTGTAAGGCATTATAATCACCAGTCACATTGGGATTTTTTAGGTGGTTCACCATCATATACGCTCTACAGAAAATCAATAGTTTCACAAGCAAATAAAAGTAGTAGGCTTCAATTTGGAAATGAGGGAAATACCAAAAACGCCAGAACAACAAATGAAATACAAGGAGAGGGCTCAAAATCAAGAAATTGAAAATAAAACCACCTGAACTGAAAGAAGAAAAAAACGTTCTAGTAAGGTACCAGATAGTTTTTAGTTTCTAATAAAAGAAAGTTCCATCACAGGAGTGATGACTTTGAATAAGGGAGAGCTTATAGTATATGAACACTCTGTATACTTTTCATTACTTTTCTAAAATAATAAAACAAGCATCGTAAATTTTTGACAACTAAGTTGAGGTTTCAACCTTTTTTTTGTTTCTTCGAAAGTACATTACGATTGCCAACAGCAAAATTATTAGGCAAACTACTCCGTTCATGCGGGCCTTTACTGATCATTTTTTTTTTCATCTTCAACGCTTTCCCTGAATCATTTCAAAATATGCAAATGAGTGAAATACATAATGCTTTCGAATAACAATTAGACCGGAACGAATAGTGATAATTTAAATAAAATGGAAGTGGACGAAACTCAAGGAAAATCAATAACCTACTCAAGTGTACATCACATGAAAATTATGTCTTCTGTTGTTATAGTCAAGATTATTCGCCTACTCTTCTACTAGGAACTGAATTTGAGCTATTTACCCGAAGATTTGGATCCATTAACAATAATACACAAATATAAGTATCAATATAAAAAAGTTGACAGTTTTGACATATAATATCATTTAAATATGAAACGATACAAACAGAAAATTAAATTGACAAATAAGTATAAAATAACAATTATTAAATACGCATACTAGTAATAATATATCAAAACATGTCGAAATCGATATGGATGTTGTTGAAAATGGATGTGATATGCACGATGGTGCCCATTTTACACACTCATGCAGACCTAAGACTTTGTAGGTACGTGTGGCAGATACCCAGAGCTTTGACCGGAAACAAGCAAATAAGAGTGTGAAATTCAAATATTGAGATTCTTACATCAAAACACATCGAAATACGAAAAACTGATAACCGATATAGGTTAACACGTAGGCAGCTATAGCTACCTGCGTGACATCCGGGTCCAGGATGTAATTACAAATAGAGATTCTATCGAGTGTGCATGATACAAATCAAAAATGAAACAATTCGTGGATACAACACTCCAAAAAGGGGGGCAAACCGGTTGACTCCGTGCGTTTACCGATCTCTTTGATGGGTGTGGTACTGATATAAAGGAAGCGATGCCGTTTGTCTATTTGTATGATATATATTTAGTGCTAGAGCATAAAAAATACAACTGTCGTATGTCTAACATACGTGTTTCGATGTATAATCTATCAGAGGAATACCTACCACTTTTAAAAGAATATTAATTCAAAAGCACGACTTTGCATGACTTCAACTTGATGAATATGACTATTTGATGCTCCTCCCCACACTACTATTCCATAGCGGATATGACTTTCCACAAGCAAGTAGTATTTGTAGAGGTAAGGAGTTCTTATTTAAGTTTCCTAAAATTTGAATAAAATGTTCCTCAATTCATTGACGGTATATTTGATGGAAATGTTTAAATTTCTTCATCCACTTTGCAGTGTTTCATTTTGTATTTATCTTAAATCGCAATAGTTGCCAGATAAACGACGTTGAGCGTTAAGATTTTGCGCGAGATTTTGTCGGACAGCGAGATTTTGAGAAAGTGTCGCGACAGATGAGAAAACAGCAAAGGAAACATTTCTGGCGTGAAACATTGTCTGGACGCCAAAAGAAAAAGATCAAAAGAAAATCCGAGGAGCGGAATGCATTGAACGTCAATTTCATTAGAGCTTTGAACATCTGCAGCTACGTGCGAATGAAACAATCTCTCTAACCACACTTTTACGATCAAACAGGTAGAGATCCCGCTCGCTGGGGATAGTCTAGTTAACAGGTGATTTTTTTCTTCCGCGACAGAAAATTGCGAAGGTGTCATATTCAATTCGGAAGTTACTTCTTTTAAACTTGATTACTTTCTTCCTTTCTTTGGAAGATTCCTACTTTTTTCTGTATTTTGATGGAGTAGTAGAAAGCCAAAAACTTTCTTTCCCAAAAATTAGTCACTCCTAAAAATGAAACCCTTTCAAATTAGGCATTCAAAACTTTTGAAAAAAAGCTGACCAAAATTACAAAACTTGTGAACAGTAAAAAAACTGTGGATATCAAAAAAACTATTCTTCTACGACCTGAAAGATGAAAATTAGTTTTAGAGAACTTCATACAGTGATTTGTCAGGTCGTTTTAAGAAAAAAGTTCTTCTTCTTCTTTGCTTATGGTCATTGCTTCCTTAATCAGGCGCATTTGACCGGTGCACCTCCTATTACATAATATAATAGGAGCTTCGTCGGGGGGGTACAGTTTGACTTGCTCGAAGCAATACCGTACCCTATATGTAACATCATTTGTTGTCTGCTATTAACTTGTAATGCACTGTTTGGAACCTTTGGTGTAGTAATGAATATTACTGAAGTTTTTTTCCCAACACCAAATCGTTATTTTTAACTGCTCAACACGTGTTTCGATCACCAAGTGATCATATTCAAAGTAACTAACGCGAAGCTAACGCTATTTATGCTATATAGATATCCCTTACAGGTAAACCATCCGCCACCCATACAGGTATACCAACCTAAATTAATTTTTACAATTTTGCCTTATCTATTGTTTTACAATATATGTTTAACTGTTATAGCTGTATATAAAAACAATTTTCAGCTATCTAACAGATTAACAGGTGAACCTGCACGGACTTTTTGAGAGATCATTCACCAATTTTGTTAGAAGAAGTGCCAGTACCTGTAAAAGGCAACGAGTGGTCTATGTACGGTGGGTCTCTAGCTCATTTTAGTGTTCTTGCTCCTCAGCATTTCGAGATCACCCACCCTAATCGCTGAATGGACGTGCAGGACCTCAAAATTGGCCAGCTCGCAGTCCTGATATGAATCGTCTAGATTTATATTCATGGGATCATCTGAAGATATTTTTGAACGTGTCAGTCAGTCAGCGACTAATCCACTGCAGTCGTGTATTTTATCAGAAGGTGGACATTTTGCTCAGTTACTTCAAGGACGAAATTGTTTGCTATTAACTTCTGGTGAATCGCTACTTTCGCACAGACACCGCTCTTAGAGCGCCCCAAAGACTTTTCCATAGTGCTTGTGTTCTGCTTTGGACAAAAAAGTCAGATTTTCAATAAAATTTAACTTGTGAACTAGGCTAAGAAAAGCAGACGAAATAACAACGGGAAATTCGATCATGCCGGACTGGCGTTGCGAAGTTTCCGTTTCAAGAAGGCTTCACGACGGACTTCACCCGATGTGACAGAGAATGGAAGAGTGTGGGAACTGTATCCATGGCTCGGACGCTGCATCAGTCGCGTCCCGACGCCAACGTCGTCTGGTCGCTCTGCTCGCGCTACACTCAGAGGCGACGTTTCGTCATCTAGACGGGGAGTATCTCGAAAACTGTATTCCGCGGACCGTACCGGGCGGACTTAGAAGTGTATGTTTGTGTGGTTTCTAGAATAAAGGAAATATAAGAGTGATCAGGTGAGTTATGGAGTTGTTTTATCTGATATGCAGATTATGCACATACAGTATGTCTGGAGATGTGGTAGACAAGAAAAGAAATGGTTTAAAAAAGTTATCCTGAATAGAAACTTTTGTTTATTGGAAGAATATGATTGCAATTGTAATGTCAAAAATAAAGAATGGGATACAGGGTGACTGAAAACTTGAAATTGAAACGTTTAACAACATTGAAGGAAGCTTCAAAGTTGAACTCGCACTAGTATTTTGTAGACTTTTCCCAGGCATCGGTTTTCTCCAAGAAGATAAATGTCGCCGAACCGGATATTTATTTATTTATTTACTACACTATTCTACAGGATGAACCCAATTACAGAATAGGGAGTAACAGTGACATTTACAAATATGTACTTACATAATATAATTTGTGAATCTATATAAAAAAATTAAAAACAGAACGTTCAGTCAGCTAAGAAATGTCTTTTGAACAGGGCCGTAGGGAAAACAAAAACCAGGGGGGGAGGGAATCCAAATTTTCCCAACTCCACCAATAAAATTTCCCAACTTTCGAAGAAATGAAAGCCGAGGGCTCAGTGTTACTACTATAATAGATTAATTTTCTTACTTAGCTATCCAAAGATTGGCTGAATGCTTATGCTGTTAGGGTATGCACAAACAAAAATAAATTTTGGTGATTATAAAAATAATAACGGGAATTTGTTCTACTTTGGACCAAGGTTCTTGGTCTTCCACCATATCGAACATGTATAGGAATAATATTCAATACAAATGAAAGGAAACAAGACTTAAATAATGTTGTGCTTATTGTTTTCTACTATTACTTTTTCTATCTTCACGGCCCGAAATTTACCAACTTTTCCAAGTCGAACAAAAGTGAAATGAAGTAATTTCAATGTTGAAGCTTTTTCGAAGTCTTTTGTATTTCTAACTAAGAATCCATACATGCGATAAGCTGCTGTTAGAGTAGCGTCAATATGTTTATTGAAAGAGAGGGCTGAATCAAAAGTAACACCTAGATCAGTGAGTGTGTCAGGACGCTCCAGAACTTGATTGTTTATGACGTAGTTGTGAAAATTCAAGTTCGTTTTCAGTGAGTAAGACATTACATTACATTTGGATATGTCGAGAGAAAGATTATTCTTCCGACACCATGTAGCAACGCGATTTAAATTCAGGGCGAGACGTTCGCAATCATTAGAACATGTTATATTGTGATAGAGTTTCAAGTCATCTGCTTATAAAAGGAAATTGACATCAATCTCAGCTCCGATGTCATTAATGAACATATTGAACAGTAGGGGTCCTAGATTTGATCCTTGTGGTACACCAAATGTAGCTATATATTCGATAGACTTGATGCCATTGAGATGGACGTACTGCTTACCGTTGTAAAAATACGATAAGAAGGTCTATCAACAAGTAGGTTCTTCACCGCCTTTTTGAAATGAATGTTGCTCAGATTTGCAGATCTCATTTCTAGTGGTAAATTATTGAACAACTTACCACCATTATTGTACATGGAATCCTTGATTAAATTCGAAGTTGGGATGGGGAGTCTAAAGGTATAACTGCTATTAAGAGTAGCATAAGGAGTAGAAGCAAAGTTGAACTTCGATTTATGTTTATAAATAAGGCAAACTGTCTCTAAGATAAAAAGTGCGATGACTGTTGAAATTTTATTGGCAGTGAACAAGTTCCTGCACGATTCTCTGGATTTGACTTTTCAGAGGCATCCTAAAGCCCTCTTTTGTAATATCAATACAGAAGAGAGAAGGGATGAGTTGCATGCTCCCCAAAAAGGTATTCCATAGCGTAGTCGAGATTCAATAAGTGCATGGTAAACGGTCTTTGCGAAATGGAAACCCAACTCATTTGAAACAACTCTAACTGCATAACATCCGGAGGAGATCTTACTCTTGAGTTGTTTAAGGTGTTCATCAAATTTCAGCCTATTATCAGTGAATACGCCGGGGAATTTTGTGTTCAATTTATTTTGTAATATGGCAGCGTCTATTGACATTTCATCAAGCGAACATTTGAATGATATTATATTCGTTTTGGATGCATTGAGAGAGAGAGAGAAAGTAAATTTGCATCGCACCAGATCGTCACCTTCTTCAAGTCGGATGATATAACAATACAGCCATCAGAATATCCTTAGGAGCACTATGTACCAGTCCAGTGGAGAGCTTATATGTAGAAGCAAATGAACTGAGTTTTTTTCTTTCCACAATATCGTAGTATCATTCGCGAATAGGGTGAAACTACCAGATATGTTAATCATAGAGATGTCATTCATATATAGCAGAAATAGAATAGGGCCTAACACATAACCCTGTGGCACACCAGATTCAATGGCTCTGTTCTCCGAGAGTTCTGTTGTCCTCACTATTTGACTCCGACCTTAAAGGTATGATTCGAACTTTTCCAAACGGATGTAATTACCATCGAATCAAATTCAATGTGAATTGATCCTGTAGTGCTTGTGTTTCGTCCTTAAAAAAACAAGCATCATCAGTCGATGATTTAAATATGCAGGTGAATATTATTCGAAAGCAATAAGATAATGAACAAATTTATAAATGTACACTCCATGAAACCCGCAAATATCTCACTGTTGTTCAAACCTTCCGGGATAATATACACGTTTGTTAATCCCTTGGGAAATAAAGTATACGTATTTGCAACCCCTACTATCCAATAAAGCATGTCATCCGTTTTGACAGACTTTGGGAGCGTGGTATATTTCAGAACTGCTAAGAACTTTGCGAAGTTTTCTAATATAAACGTTAGGAGCTGAAAGATGATGGATGACGTAGGTCATTAACGCTGGTGTGTCGAATTTGGTAGCCGACAGCTTTTGGCATGTAAAAGATCCATTAGTTTTCAATGGGCGATTCACTTGATATCCAACAAAAAATCGAACGTAACAAATAAGGAGATTGTACCCCAGTCATCGTAAAGTAGAAAAAATATAGCCGAACACTTTCTGGCACGAATCCAAGAAAATCGGGGAAGGATGAAGGTTCGCTTTGTAGGAAATAGTTTACTGTGTGAGATATTTATGTCAAGAAAAACATCTTTCACATTCTATGTCACATAAGTATTAATAATGAAAGTTTCATTATCCAACAATTATCCTATCAAAAAAGATACAAAAAAACAATCCTTATCTAAATTGAATATAAGTTTGCGTCTTTGATAATATTATCCAGATTCGTAAAAAATATATTACAATGAAAATGCCAATGAAATATTGACACAAAATATTAATGTTTCATAATTGTAGAATCATTTCTGATTATATAAAAATCACAATAACTANGCGCACTCAGTATTTTTGACCATTTAATAAATTTTGTTGTAAGTTACATTCGTTTAATAATCACCCGTCAACTTTTTTTCCCTAAAGCGATCTAAAAAAAAATATTGCCATTTTGAAAAATATCCCTAGACTTTTCCGCTGACGGTGTGGTATTGATGACACCACCGATAACCAGACAAGCCTGTTTCTATAAGTTATGGAGCTTCGCCTGGGCCGTTTTCTGATGTGAAAAATTTTGATCGAACTCGTGGAGTAGTAATGCAGAACCAGAACAATCCTTATAGCACCAAGATCCCATAAAATTATCGCACATAATTTCGTATCCTCAATGACGAAGTCTTTTTGTCATTCCAGTGCCGATGTCAAACACGAACTTCACCAAGCCACAGCCCCATAGCTAAGTTTTATATCCGCTGAAGAGGATGTTATTTATCAAATAAGCTAATGGCGTGGCAATAACTCCAGATATGATTTTTAGAGTTTCAGATTTCATGTCATTAGTGCCGGGGTATTTGATAGGTTCGAGCGACTTTATAACATTCATTTATTATCCTGTATCCATCGATGTATTGATTCACTCGCGATGATGGTTTTACTCCGGAAACTGAGCGATAGAGATGAGTTGATTGATATGTATTTTTCTTGTGTGTGTTTCTATTCACGCCAGATGGTAACCTTTACTTACGAAAGACGACTGTCACATATGTGGGAATCGTGTCAATTTGGTTGAAATGCCAATATAATCTAGTGAATTTCGCTAGTGAATTCCGTCTTTCATCTGTTGACAGTTACTCACCTAAGTTTCAGCCATTTTGGACGCGCAGTTGTTATGTAATAGTCGTTTGCGTAAGTTGATGCGAGTGTTTTTATGAAAAAGGAAATAATCGACTCGAGCTCTCATTAAATATTTGTTACTGAAGGGCAATACGCCTCTGCAAATCAAAGATGAGTTAGATTCTGGGTATGGGGACTCTGCATCCTCATTTACCACGGTGAAATTTTGGACAGCTGAATTAAAAGGTGGTCGTGAGAACTTGGGACGTACAAAAACTGCAACTACCGTCGAAAAAATAGCCAAAGTTTACTAAATGGTGCTGGACGACCGTCGAATTGAAGTGAGAGAGGTAGCAGAGATTATGAACATCGATGGGAAAGGTATGTAGAGTTGAAAGAAAAGGAAACTTTTGAGGAATGGAAAAAAGTCTTGTAGCTTTGTTAGGTCGGAGACTGTTGAAATCACCTCGTAGCTCCCTTATCAGACCTGGGGCCTGTAACACAACCACTACAAGTCTAACAAGTGTATAAATAAATTATACAAGTGTAGATATTCTGTAACATAAAGTAACTTGTAGTTACTAATGGGGCATTGGTAATTACGGGACTTTCTCTACAATTGTAGTATCTTTTCGTGTCACAAAAATGAGACTTGTACAGTCGTGTTACGGAATTGTCGACAATTGTAGACAATTTTCTACCTATCTTGATTGATGAGTAGATTGAGCGTACTAGTGTAGTGAAGTCTTTCATCGTGAGCGTATATCTATAATTCGTGAAAACGAAAATGGTCGTGCAGTATATCGCTATCGAAAGAGAAGTAACTTTGTCATACTGACAGACGATAATTTGTAGAGAGGTTCAGACTTAGTCGACAACACTGTCAAAGTCTTCTTCAAGA